CAACAACTACAGTGAAAGCATCTAGCCAGTAGAGGTACCAACAACTACAGTGAAAGCATCTAGCCAGTAGAGGTGTCAACAACTAGAGTTAAAGCATCTAGCCAGTAGAGGTGTCAACAACTACAGTGAAAGCATCTAGCCAGTAGAGGTACCAACAACTACAGTGAAAGCATCTAGCCAGTAGAGGTGTCAACAACTAGAGTTAAAGCATCTAGCCAGTAGAGGTGTCAACAACTACAGTGAAAGCATCTAGCCAGTAGAGGTACCAACAACTAGAGTTAAAGATCTGACACATTCATTTCAGATCCCCGTAACCAGCGCACCCCCCTAGGCACCCCCCTCACCCTCCTGTTGGTCAGAGTCGCCCTGGGGAATGTGTTTCACGTGGATCGCAGCCACCCAAGTCTTCAGTCACGCCGTAAGTTTTTTCTCCCTTCTGCAAACGTCAGTTTGTTGGACAACCTGATTGTTTTTGTAATGTGTTTTTTTTAGGGGGGTAAGTGTTTTACGGCGCTCGCAACTGCATATGGTCATATGAGCGCGCAGGACACATTAAATATAACATTTTTCAATTGGTAGGAAATTTGGAATTTTGCCAGTGTGGCGGCTGAAGCCTACTCTTATCGATTTTAGACCACCGAGGGATCTTTAACATGCGCAACTTGCACACGGGCCCTCCGAGATTTTTCATCCTTTTCCGAAAAGGCTAGGTGTAGATCTTTCCTTCCAGAAGATCAAGGGTGCCGCTGAAAGACAGCAGTAAGAAGGAGCCAAGGTAGAAAGGCTGCAGGAAGAGTCAGGAGCAAAGGGGAGGGGACAAAGGAGGTGAGGGGGTGGGGGCAGAAAGTGGAGACGAAAGCAGACGACAGAACATTGCTAAAGAGCAGGAAAGGAGGTGAAAGGAGACAATTATAGAGATGGAAAATTTTCTGTTGCTACCCGGAATCAAACCCAGGACCTTTGAATGAGAGGCGCACATCTTAACCTGTAGGCCACTAGAGTCCCCGCAGCGCCATTGACACGATTGTGTACGTGGTTCAGCTTTGTATCCCTGGGGCAAAGATTTCTTTCTGCTTTCTAGTAGCCGTAATATGTTCTCAGAGAACTACCCCAACAGGGATAAAGAAACAAGGATACAAGTCAAGATATTGGCGATTTGGGGGTCACCTGGTTTCAGAGGTAAAATTAGCGAGGTAAAATTAGCGAGGTAAAATTAGCGAGGTAAAATTGTGTTCTCTGGCCAGTTTCTGGTGGGTTGGGTTGTAGCTCTGCTTTTCGTTTTAGACATTTTTGGGCAGGGCCAAGAGTAAACAGTTAAAAAGTTACTCTATAACCTTGAACCTTGAACCTTGAACCTTGAACCTTGAACCTTGAACCTTTCTTTGTCCAGATGGAAACAAACTGCTTGGGCCGCCGTGCACGAACTGTCAATCTGATGAACCGTGCAACTGCAAGAAGCCGCGCTACGACTCGGTTCTCGTTGAAGACACTTCGTTTCTGTTCAGGGAGTTCGTGGTGTACGATAGAGCGCATTGCTACCCAGAATACATTGTGACGTACGTCAGAGAGTAGAGCAGGTGCCGTCAGTTTCTGAATCTCTGGAGTTGGGACTGTCAAACCACATGCAGCACTCGTGTCTTCTGGTTTTCTTACCTGATGTTGCGTTCATTGTTGCAAAGTTCTTGTTTTCATGGTTTAGATTTGTTTAATTCTTAGTTCTAGTGTGTTCGTAAGTGCTGATACCTTTTGTTTTTACGGCTGTCCTTACATGTATGTAGTTGCTGTATGGTTGTGAACGTTCTTCTTTATGTGGTGGAACTGGTTTTTCTTGTTACTGTGAAATGTTTTTATCTTGTGTGAATCGCTCAGTGATCATGTGATTGGTGTACAGCGCTCAGTGATCATGTGATTGGTGTACAGAGGTCAGTGATCATGTGATTGGTGTACAGCGCTCAGTGATCATGTGATTGGTGTACAGCGCTCAGTGATCATGTGATTG